ATGCTTCCAACTGAGTCCACGGACCTCTTTGAAGGTGCAGCAGTGAGTGATGGTAACGATCAGGCGGAAATTGAAGAAGCCCGTATACCACCATCTGTGCGAGAGTTTTTCCATTTTCAGCATTTACGGCGATTACAGCAATATCCGTTTCCCAGACCAGCAGTAGTTAATGTGTTGATGGAAGTGATTGTGTACAAGAATCAATATCGGTATTACCAGGGGTACGTCGTTTCGTTCCCTGATTTACCAGCAATGTGGCCGCAAGAAATCATATATGACGACCTAACGTGGTACACGTACAACTATGCTGTGGAAGTGCCCCGGAATGACCCTTATTTAATATTTGCGTATTTTGAAGAAAATCGGTGGACGAGCATATAAGCTGTGAGATTAGTATATTACGAGGACATTACAGGTAATAGATTAGAGCTGTAGCATCGATAAAGGAAGTAAAGTGTTATGTAAATTTTTAACGTACAGTGGTTATTATTATGTGTTGTGATACTTAATATATAATGTATGTGATAAAATAAAAACTGTAAAATTATTCTTGTAATAGACAATGTTTGTTAATAAATTGTATTTATACAAATTTCAAAATTTTTTATAAAATTTAAAATACCTAGTGTGACTTCGTTAATTTTTACTCAATAAACACAAAGAGACAAATTGCGAGATCAATTTGCGCGCGTCGAAGCAATATACCTCGTAAGTAATAAAATACTTATTTTATTACACATCATCGCTCTCCACGTCTCCAGGATTTCGTATGTCTCTCTCTTTCTCTCTCCGTGTCTCTCTCTCTCTCTCTCTTTCCACGACGTTTAGATTTCGCGGGTCCTCCCCTCCGCTCAACAGTTTTTCATACTCCTACCTCACAAATACTTACATGCAACACTTTAGCTTCGTCAAAGCAGACCTCTACCCACGTGGTGGGGGTTTTTTTTGACGGGCCAAAGTGTTGCAACAACTACTCTCGTATATATGGAGAGCAAGTGAATTGAATACATTAAATAAATTAAGTAGAAAGGCCAAATTAAGATTATAGTAAAATGCTCCTCCCAAAAAGTGGAGCAGGAGCTCAAACATGTCAACTAAGGATTCGCGAAAATTTATGCCAACCGCTCAGCCACGACCACTGCTGGCAGTGACTGTTTCAATTACTCTTTTAGATGCACTACTGTGTCATCAGTTAAACACTGGTGTGCAAGTATACGGGCGCAGGCTGGACCAAGCTGAGCCACATCCGTAACATTACCAAACATATAATATTTTTATTTTTAGATAAAATTTGTAGGAAACTTAAGCACCCAAGAATATATCTTCAATTTTCTCAGTCATGCTTTTTCTCTGATTCTTTGAATGATAGCGATTTTAATCGAAGTGAAATTTCTTGTAAAAGTTACGTCCTTGTCCTGTAGGATATGCACCCTAAACCTATAAGATTTACTGTGTATAAATGAAGTTGAAAAATGTAAAAAACCGTTACATGATTTTGGCACACCTCTACTATGTTCAGAAGAAAATAAATACAAAATTTAACTCATAAAGTAAATTGAATTCTAACGGCCATACATCATGAAATATACAACTATGATCCAACTACGAAGAATCTTGTCTTAAATATTGTTATTTAGAAACCAATTTGTTTGGTAAATAACATAAAAAGTTTTTTAAACGATATTGCGTCTACTTTGCCATCAAATCTTGAGTTTTATTAACACTGTGCAATTTTTTAAATCCATCTTATTGGATCGATAATTCAAGAAACTTCTGCGTCTGGCAGTAAAGATTAATTAACTAACATACGCCTGGAAAAAGTGAAGCTGACCAGCCGAGGCCAGGTGTTGATTTTGCTTAGTGCTGACGTTACAGAGCTAAAATTGTTGTAACAAACTTGCTATATCACAAATAAATATTTATTTCATAGCCAGAACGTTGAATAAAAATAAAAAAAAATAGTTCAACAGTTCTATGTAATACAACGTAATCTAACCAAAAGTGAAAATAAAGCAACTAAACAGAGTTAGCCTAGCTTCAATAGATACACAGGTAGATAACCTTATAATAAAAACAAGCTTATTTCCTGCTTATTTGTAAAAATTTTATAAATAGACTTAATTAGGTACACGTAACAAAACTAGTATAGATGTATCTTCATAGGTCCATGGTTGATTTAAATATCTTAACGTACCTGTTTTTTTCAAATTCATTTTAAACCTCTGAACACAATAGGGGAGGGCATCTCATATGCATTTTTCTTGACGATTTGTTAATTATTGAGTTATAAAGCCAAGTAATATGTTATTAGAACTAATAGTTATCCAGCAAAAAGCTCTCCCTTTTTGCATAATGGTCTGTTATAAAATTTATCTGTGTTATGCCTTTATCAAATCATTACAACCTTTTTTTGAAGAACTTCGTAACTATATTTTTGAACTACATGCATTATTGATAAGGTAGTTTTACGTATTGTCGATTTTTATAGATCGTACATTCGTACAATATGTCAAAATAAGTCGAGTCCTAATTAAAAACCAATATCAATTAATGAATTCGTGCAAAAGCTGTTCTTTTTTAAGAAACTAAATGAACATTTAAAGTCGATAATCATTTCTTATGAAGTATTCACAGTCTTGATCACCATCTAGCTATACTTCTTAACGCAATGTAACAAGGATTTTTATAACACTATATAACGAGTACTCTATCGTGAGATATAAATTGCAAAAATTGCAGAAATCTCTTTCTTCTTTTAATAAAAATTGAGTTATACAAGATTCTTTTACTGAAACAGTTTCCCAAAGGTTCTAGGAATCTTAAGTAACATACGCAGATGCTCACACGACTGTGTGTAACGCACTCTGTACAAGTGTACCCAGATAAAAAGTCATAAAAGACAGTTTTTGCGTACAGATGGACAAACTTATCGTGTAAAGTATTCAATTATTTAAATAAACTAGAAAATAAGTAAAAGTCATAGTTTTTTCTTAACTTTTATCGTATGATCTAGAACAAGCTTCAGGAGTCTCAAGTTACAAACAAGCACGCTTAAACCTATGCAACACAGACTATGTAAATTTCCATGTAACACATTGAACTATTTTACTAAACTTCGAAATCTGTCTTTTTTTTATTTATAAAATTTATAAAATGTAAAAATTTTTCTTAAGTGATAAGTCAATGCCATATAAACGTTTCATAGGTAAGATACTTAGTCAGGTGCTAATCAACACCACTTTTATTTTTTTTTGTTAAGTATCAAAAGTCATAGAGAGCATTACCTAAATAAAGTCATGGTTTAGGATCGTTGTCGAAGGATTCATTTTTAAAATAGTTATACTTTCTTCTACTACATTATTGGATAAAAACGATTATTGATTAGAGTATCTAGATAGTTTAACAATCCAAGAATTTTTATTACACAATATACAATGTTGATCCCTCCATACCGATTAAATTAATAATCCGCTTAGAACGATGTTGACTTGTGTAAAACATTTATCAGAGTATTATACTTACGTTTCCTCATGTACCAATGACAAGACTATACTATCATAGAAGGGTGGATGACGGTGATGAAAATTTTATAAAGAATATTATACAAGAGCTGTTCCAAGAGCGGCAAAAAAAAGTTAAAAATCATGAATTTCATTGTGATTGCATCTTGTTTTTGGTACTCTGGCCCTTGCACATCTAACTCAACCATTGGCTACTTTGTTTTGCGTTTGCATGTAATCGCATCTTGTCAAATTCAAGTAATTATGCAATATACGTGTACGTGTTTGCCTTCTGATAACATAAGCATAGGCTCCATAAAATTATGCACTGGTTTAAGTAATGAATAGAGTTATTTTGTTACTTACTATCATCTCAGACGTCTTTATATATAGTCTTGTTGATTCTGCACGTCGACAGTTCTTGTTCATTCATAATGAACAAAGCAAAGTAGCAAGTATATTATTTAATTAAAATAATTTGCATACTCTGTTTACTTTTCATAATTTTATTTTCATCTATTGTAGCTGCATTGACGTATTTTGTTCTTAATTTATCTTTAAATCGGAATTTGACTTACGTCTAAGTACCATAATAAGGACCGTTATAAAAAATATGATAAAAACAATTAATACGGATGAAAAAAGAGACTTTTTATCACTATAGGATTAAATATTTGGTCAGCGTCTCCATGTTGTCAATGATTTGTTTGACTGCTTCTACAACTCTTTTCTTGTGTTAATGAAAAGTCAACGTTTGAGCGCATTTATAATTGTTGTTTCTAACAATGCTCTGAAAAAAACAAATTTTGTACAAGTCTATTCATTAATAATGATGGTTAAAGATAAATCCACTCTTAACCACATAACGTACACATGTGCGATTCTTAAACAATCGCAGAATGTAACAAAACAGGTTTTTTAGCAAATTGAATACATTTGGGTACAGCCCTCAACAACAATTGGTATGAAAGAAACAGAAAAAAATACTGTAGACAAGCCTTTCAAAGAGTAGTTTTTCCATTGATCGTCTAAATGGTATGGTATCCACTATAAACTGTTTTTACGTTTTTAAATTCAAGAATGTATTTAATGAAAAAAAGCATGCAGATTTTGCAGTTTATAAAAATAACTAAATGTGGTTTATGGAGATTAACACAGTATGTGTTACACTAGCGCATACGTGCGTGCTCGTTGCGTAAGACTCCTGGAGCTTGTTCTACGTCATACGATATTTGTTAAAAAAAAGACTACAACATTTGCAAATTTTGGTATTTCATCCCAACATATGAATGTTTTACACAATGAATTTGTCTATTACTGCACAAAAAGTATCTTTCACCAATTTATATTGGGATTTACTCGCACATTGTGCATTTTACAGTCTCGTGCACGGGCGCGTGTGTACCATAAGAATTCTACATCCTTAAACGGGCTGCTTTTAAAAAAGAGTCTTGTGCAGCGCGATTATTTGAAAAAAAAAAAAAAACTTTATTTCTTAAATTTTTTGCAATTCTTATTTCACAATGAAATACTCGTTATATTTTGAAAAATGTTGCTAGATTATGATCTAGACTGTGGTTACTTCATGACGAATCAGGTTCAACTTTTAAAGTTAATTTGGTTCTCTAAAGGAAATTTAAGTATGACTGATGAAAAAAAAATGAAAGAATCAATGCAACAGATAATTATAACAGAAAGCTAAGGATTTTCTGACGGGAAGTCAACAAGACTAAGTATGAAGACGTTTGAGATGATAGTAAGTAACAAAATATCCAATATTTCTTATCATATAATCACATTTAAATTATTTCTACAAATTTTTTTTTGGACGAAAAAAAAGTGTTTATTCTGATACCAAAGAGATATTAGCTGAGATCCCTGAAGAATTCCATTCTTCCAATCCACTTAAACTGCATGATGACCATGAGGTCACATCAGTTTTGGGTCTCAACTGGAACTCCGATCTCGATAGTTTCAGTTTTAAGGTCAACTTACCATCTTCTCATCCAATTTGGACTGAACGCAGTGTGCTTTCTCAGTTAGCCAAATTTTTTGACCCACTTGGCTGGATCTCTCCAGTAATTATTAAAGCTAAAATGTTACAACAAGAATTATGGTTGCTGAAGGTACCATGGGATGAGAAACTTCCTTCTAATCTTTTGAAGGAATGGAGTGAGTGGATCAATGAAGCCGAAATCTTGGATCAGATTAAAATTCCGCGTTGGAATGATTTCCAACCCGTTGATCCGATAATAGAAATCCACGGCTTTGCTGATGCTTCTAAACGAGCTTATGCTGCGGTTCTCTATCTTCGTATACTTACAACAGACATGGTTTTTACTTCATTAGAAATATCTGAAACCAAGGTGGCACCACTAAAGACGCTCAGCATTCCTCGCCTGAAGCTGTGTTGTGCTCCCTTACTTTAGAAGCTAGTGAATCATCATGTCTCAACTACAAAGGTTCAGGCTTCAGCTATTTACCTATACACCGACTCTATGGACACTTTGTGTTGGATAAAGTCAATTCCATCTAAGTGGCCTACCTTCGTTGCTAATAGGTGTTCTGAAACTCAAACCTTGACACCTACAGCCTATTGGCATTATGTCAAAACTAAAGAGAATCCGGAAGATCTCGCCTCTCACGGGGTTCTGCCCAAGCAACTTATTGGTCAGAAACTTTGGTTTGAAGGGCCTGATTTTTTGAGGGATCTTAAAATCGTTTTTTCCGACATTTCACCTAAAAATTCTCCTGAAGGTGAAGACACTGTTCTGAATGAAACGCTTTCTGTAAATGCATTAGAATGCCAAGATAAGTTACCAGACACTTACTCAGCTTACAGTAGTTGGCATAAATAACTCAAGGTTATAAGTTACTGTCTAAGGTTTATGCTTACGTTAATTTTCAAACAACGTACTTAAAATCAAATAAAGTCTGCTAAACGTAATGACGTTGAAATTTTGACGTCACAAGAGTTGTCTTTTCTGGATTTATCCAATACCTTAAGGTCAGATAGCCATTGTTTGACATTATCAGAACTGGACAATGCTCGATTAGTTTGGGTTCGTGTTCATCAGATGTTCCATTTTCCGCATGAATACTATATACTGTTAAGAAACTCGTCTTTATCTGAATCTGAACAGGTTCCATCAAACAGAAACAGCAGCATCGCCAAGCTGAATCCTATTCTTGTCGATGGAGTCATTAGAGTAGGGGGAAGACTTGGAAAGGCTTGGATCCCTAGCCAAACTAAGCACCCTTTAGTTCTTGCTCCCAAAAATTATCTGACCGACTTGATAATTGATTATCATCATAACTTAGTTTTACATGGTGGCACTCTTCTTACTTTGACATCTATTTGCCAAGCCTACTGGATTGTGTGAGGGCGTCAAGTAGTTCGTAATAAAATCTTCAAATGTATCCCTTGTATTTGGTATAATGCCAAACCGCATGTACAAATTCAAATGATGGGAGATTTACCATCATCCAGAATACTGGAGTGTCCAGCGTTTACTAAAGCGGGTGTGGACTACGCGGGTCCCTACGCTATCCAATTGACCAAATCGAGAGGAAAGGGAACTCAGAAAGGGTACATTTGTGTTTTTATTTGTATGGTCACTCGAGCAGTACACTTGAAAGTGGCGGAAAACTACTTTTCTGCGGCCTTTCTTGCTGCTTTCATTCGGTTTACATCCAAGCGAGGGTACTACTTTGCATTTATACAGTGATAGGGGTACCAATTTTGTAGGTGCATCTTCTGAATTAAGGGAGACGCTCTGCCAGTTTTTAAGGTCATACAACCTCAGCAATAAATTGCTGAAAGCTGGAACCAATTGACATTTCAACCCACCTTCTGTGCCCTACTTCAGTAGTTTGTGGAAAACCGCTGTTAAATCAGCTAAACGGTTGTTAAAACGAGTTATCGGTGACCAGGTGCTCACCTTCGTAGAATTTTCCACTCTCTTATGCAAAACAGGGGCGAGAATTTAATCACGCCTCTATACTAGTTCTACTCGCCTCTATCTAGTTCCACAATCAGATGACCCTTTCGATTTAGAGGTACTCACGCCTGCCCACTTCCTGAGCTACAAACCTGCCTTCCTAACCCCCAAACCTCAGTGAAAAAGAGAAGAATTTAACTCGTTACGACGATGAAAATTCATTATATCCTGTCTCCAACATTTTTGGAAGAAATGGGCTAACGAGTATCTTGTGTCATTACGAGGTCGACAAAAGTGGATTTTCAAACAAAGAGCAGTTCAAGTCAATGATTTAGTACTTATTCTCCAAGAGAACACTCCACCCTGTCATTGGCCTTTAGGCCGGGTGACTCAGGTATTTGCAGGATCAAATGAATCTGTTAGAGTTGTCGAAGTCTGTACCGCTACCTCTACTCTCACTCGACCAGTGGTCAAGCTCGCGCTAGTTCTACTGGCCGAAGAGTTTGATGTTAATAGTTAGCAAGCTTCGTTATTTGTAAAAGGACAGTGGTCTTTAAATCTTTTAAATCCACGTATTCTTATAAGTTTATTTAAAGGTGATAATAATATGGGCTTCCTTGATTACATTTTACAATTATTTTTTTTTTATTATGTAGTTAAATATAACACTAAAAACAAATCACATACTTGGTGTGCTACCCGTTAAAGAAAATGCCCTCGCCTCTACCCGGAGAAGTTGTAAAATTAAAGTGACTAACATGATTATTATTTTTGTTTGTAACTATTAATAAGTTTAATTTTTCGTTATCTTCTACTTGGTCTGTCTTTCTGTCATGATACTCAGACATACCAACCCGTGGAAATGTTTAAAATTCAAGGTCTTTGTCGGGTTTTGTTGGGCGCGTTAAACGAAATATAGACCGCCTTAGCTAACTGCATTGTATTTAGGAGTCTCTGGCGTGTGACTACAGGACTAGATGTATGCATGTATGTATGCGTGGGTGAGAGTGAAGCTGTGTGCAACGTGTGCACTGATACACGCGATGTGCGGAACAGTCTCCTTCATACATGGCTAGTGGACAGACATGTTTCATTGCTTTTGCTTCTGCAGCTCCTTTTCACGTGTTGCGCTGCCCACGCGTATACCGGCATAACTCTGCCATCTTTTTCTTTTCGGTTATTTGAACACCACTGTAAACTCAGTTTTATTACTTACCTCTCTGTTTACAACTAGTTTAATAGTTCTTGCAGTGCAGCTTCTGTGTTGTGCCACTAAAAAAAACCACTTTCAACGAGATATGAACCGGCAACCTTCTGTACACTAGCCAAGTACTCTATCCACTCTGTGACAAGCTATCCCACTCCGTGATGAGATTTTTATGTGACGAAACCCCTTACTTCTTAGAGTTTTGTACATGACATTCTTAATTTTAGTTTTCGTCAACTGTTGATTGATAAATTCAATTTTATTTAAAACTATATAAAGTCATAAACTATGTATTATAGCATATAATTTAATTTTAACCCTTAAGAACTTTTTTTAGTAGCTTTTCTACATATAAGTAAATATTTATTTAATTTTCATACTTAGTTTTAGTTTCTTAACAAACTACTGTGTGCGAAATTTTTTTGAATTCTAAAAAAGTTGTTACCTTTTTTGTCGTAAGATTCTTCGTATAAGGTTCTACAGATAGATATTTACATTCTTATCATTCTTATTCTGAAAAACTTATTTATTTGTTTATAAGGTGAAAAGATGAATGATGCTACATCTATTGGCATAAAATACTACCTCATTTAAGATAAAGCGATACTATGGGATGTTCTTTCATAACTTTTTAGATTTATATTTTAAAAGTAACTTAGAATAAGTATGTGTCAGTGATGTCACCGGTGTGAGCGTGACATTAAAGATTTTTTAGCGTAGGAAATTGTTTTGAAACAATTGGAAGATTGTATAAAAATGAACAGTCTTTCAACAGCCAGCCTCAAAGCACGTTACACCAACGCTTTACTTTACAGTGTTCTTACCATTGTAATTATAAATTGCTTAAAATTGTTTAGTCATTTCATACTTAAACATTCATTAAAACCACACCTTATTACAGAATATCATTATGCAAACTGTAATTGCGCTACTTTTGATAAATCATAATGAGTTATTTAAAATATCGTTCTGTAAAACAGAATAGCAGTAAACTTTGATGGCCAAGCACTGACTCACTAATTAAATGTTGTGGACTTTCTCACCTTGTTGGTGGTATGAAATTCTTCATCAGATAAACTCATATTATTTGCTGTCAATTAGGGTGACTTACGGTGCTTATGGTTGTATGGTTTACTTTCCTTAGGTAGTGGATAATTTGTTTCTCGTAGCTTAATTGTCTTACCACCAGGTTCTTAGCTCATAATTTGTTTAAAAATACAATTTCTCAGGCAAAAAACTTTCATAGCGTCTTCCAATCCCGTAACAGAAAACCCATTCAGTCTGTACCGTATGATTTAAAAAGATGTAGTCTGGTGTTTTTACGTCTAACTGAGCTCTAATAGTGGCACCGAACAAAACTATTAATAAGTGTTTTTCTATTTCTTTATTTGCGTTGGCTCCATCGTATAAGCATTCACTACCCTTGAGTTCTTTTAGCACCAAATTATAATCCCAGACTATTGGTCATAAACAAACTCTGTTGATATTTTGAATGAAGCACAACTTGTTTTTTTACTGTTAAATAGAAATATCCTAAAATTAAACGTTGCATTTCGTACTTCATAACAAAAGTCTTTTACAAGCACACGCCACGTAAGACTCACCACACTGACTATTCTGAAGTGTAAGCACACCACACATACAACTTCTGCAACACATACATGTATGTATTCTAATGATATGCTCGAAGTTCAAGACTAGTGTCAGCAATGTATGCGTGCATTGCTCCTTGAATGAAGCTGGACACATTATTAAATGAATAAGAAATTATGACACTTACTGTAAGAAAATTTTAATAAACCTAATAATTTGTATCGTTCATTAAAAGTTGTAGAGCGTTAGCGAGGGATTACGGCTTACGTATATGATTATTACTTTTTTTACGAAGGGACTTTTTATCGTTATGTTATTCGGGAGTACATCGGGTTATTATATGTAAGATGCAGCGCAGGATGCAGCATTAGGTAGTATTGTATAGCTAGCAGATCTAAATAGCTTTTTTTTATGTATCAGAAAGTATTCCCTAATACTACACACACTGAGACACTATCCTGTTACAGCTACACTCAGTGCTACAAGGAAAAATACAAAAAAATACAAAATGAATTTAAACACAAGACTATGTATGAATAATTAATGTTTATGTATCTGCATCAATAACAGCTACTATAATTGCAACTTTGACCCTACACACCACAAAGGCGATCGGTTATGTGTCGTAACGTGCTGTATTGATACGCTACAATTGGTGTTTTACTTTTATGCTGTCATTATAATAGGGGACTGGGACTGACTCTATAGTTGCTTGGGTAGGATAATTAGGACGACCACTTTTATGCCCTTATACTCATAGCACTAACACTATGTATTATCACATACCAGGATTGGCTCTGGTGGAGTGCTCATTGATGCCTCCAGCAGTATTACGAGCATTGAGGACACCAGAGAATCTGAGTGACTGTATAAGGGCTGGCTCGTGTGTGTGTGTGTGGCACTGGGTCTTAGCTTCACTACGTCACAGTAACTTGGCCGGTGAGAGTCTTTTGAAGCTGCGCCACGCTGCTCCAGTGCTAACCTCGCAACGAGCTCAAGTGTTTCTCTCATTCTACCGCGCAGGAGCACTGTATGCCACGCAGGAGCACTGTATCCTTTGGCATACCGATAGGAAGAACGAGAGAAGAGTCAGGCCAAGCTCTGTAGCTACTCTTAACGCTGTGGCCATAGGGCTTCCGTTTTGGTTAAATAATTTTATGCATTGTTGCTTGCAAGGTGACAGGCGCATAAGTGAGGCCATAAGGTATCCGTATATACTGATAGAGACTTCGACGTGGCACCGTGAAGGCTGTCAGCTCCTTGCTGTTATCTTCCAACAGTATTTAGTGATAGGCTTCGCTAAGGTCTATCTTTGAAATTACTTTTTCCTGGCGAAGTTTATCAAGGATATCGTCTACCAGACGCATTGGGTGGGCATTCTTTTTGGTGACCTCATTTAACTTTCTGTAGTCAATGCAAGTTTCAAATTTTTAATTTGCTTTTGAGGCTAGTAATGGACAGCTGCACCACTTACTTTCTGACTCCTCAATGATATTTTCCTGTTTGAGCCTCTCCATTTCGTCATATGCTTATTGGTAACACCTTAGGGGCATATCGACGTGGTTGCTGTTAGATTGGTGCCTGACCTTGTTTCTATTCAATTTTTACCGCTGATACCTTTTTAACTGTTACTTGTCAGCGA